TTTGAGAGGTTTTTGCTATAGGGCACGTGCGTTCACCAGAAAGACAGAGAGAGACAGAAAGACAGAAAGCAAGAAATCACCCCCCGGCGGGAATGCCATACCTCAATCCCTTCTCCTCTTGGAATTTTTGGGTGCACATGGGCCTGGCGTGATTTCCAAGCCACCAATTCAGAGATGCAAACCAGGAAGTTGGCCATGTGGAATCCAGTGTCTTAACCTCCATGCCTCCTGCTGGCCCATCATTCCCTTCTTAACCAATCTCATCTCAACCTTGTGTCCCCAGGATGAACTCTGCACTCTGCAGCCACGGGGATTTCTACCGGTCTGAGCTCCTTATTGTGGTCCACCAGGTCCACCATAACCTCGTACCTATTCAGTCTCCTTGGCTCTCCCACCCTCTGAGCCTCGCCATTTATGTGCTTTAAGTCCTATTAGATGGTGGTGAGCTTATATTTGCACACTCACACACAGATTCTTGCTTGTCTCCATGACTTTGCTTCTACGGCAATGTCTGCTTGGAGTGATCTCTCTCTGGCCTCTCAGTTGCCCTGCTGCTTACAAACTGCTAAGCATGCCCGAAGGCTCTGCTTAGGGGACCTCTCTTCCAGGAAGCCTTCCTTGAGCCCTCCTTTCTGCTCTGACAACTGCCTGTGACACCTCTTCCTTAGTTCTTTCTACCTCATGCTGAAACGCTGTCTTATACCTGTGTCTCCCACTGAACTGCGGGCCATTTGAGGTCAGGGACAATGTCTTTATGTTTGTTTTGTGGCAAGAACTGCAGATTTGGGGACCAGCAGTTAGCGTAATGGCTATGTCGCTGGACTCCCATGTGGTCGACCGTGGTTCACGTCCCGGACCCGGTGGCTTAAAACTCATGCCAGGCGCATGTGCGTGCCTGCCCAAGATCCCGAGAGGAGAATGAAGGAGAAGGGATTGCGGCGTGGCCATCCCCTCTGGGGGTGATTTCTCGCTTTCTGTCTCTCTATCTCTCTCTGTCTGGCTAGCGCACGCGCCCTCTCTCTCTTTCTCTCTTTCTGTCTTTCTGGCGAGCGCAGGCGCCCTATAGCGAAAACCTCCCCCCCCCCCCCAAAAAAAAGAAAAAAAAAAAAAAAGAACTGCAGACCTGGAATCAAATACTCTAGAAAAACTCTAGTTTCAAGTCCTTCCTCTATTTACCTGCTCTTCATCATTTTGGAAAAGTAACTTTTTATCACTTTTCTCATTTGTAAAGTGAGAATAATAATAGTACCTCCCATGCACGGTGTATTGAGTCAGTGTCTGGTAACCCAACAAGATTTTATTTAATTTGTTTAATGCACATATTTATGGTTAATTATTTATTATATATAGTAGAAAAGGGCTACAACCAAGAGGCAAGATTCCGTCTCCATGCCTGACCACCGCACTACCTGGCTGCCTCCTTAGTGTCCTCGTCAATAAGATTTTATTTTCAGGGGCTTAGACAGAGGCGCAGTGGTAGAATGGAGCACTCTGTGAGGCGGACTCACATGGGAAGGTTCTGGGTTCACTTCTGGAGACCTCCCTGGACACACTGGGCATGAGTGCCCATGACCTGGGGCTGGCAGAGACTGGTGGTGCGTCGTGGTGTACTGACCCTGTTGGGAGTGCTGTCTCTTTCTCTCTCTCCTGCTCATAGAGTAAATAAATAAACTTTTTTTTTTTTAAATGGAAAAAATGGAGACCAGCAGGTGGCATGGTGTTTGGGCACTGGACTTCCGCATGGCTGACTGCAGTTTGAATCCCAGACCTGGTGACTTGCTTTCTCACTTTCCCTCTCTCTTTCTGTCTTTCTCTGGTGAGTGCACATGCTCTATAGCAAACTTAAAAAAAAAAAAAAAAAAGAGGGGCCGGCAGATGGTGTGGGGTTTAAACGTGCTGGACTCTCACATGGCTGACCACAGTTCAAGTCCTGGACCTGGTGGACCTGGGGGCTTTCTCTTTCTCTCTCTGTTGTCTGTCTCTCTCTGATCTAACTGGAAAGTAATAATAATAAATGAAGTTAAATATAAAAAAAGAAAGAAGAAGAAGAATGATAAAATAAATAAATAACTAAATCGTTTTAAATGGAAAAAAAAATAAATGAGAGGAGGCCGAGTGGGGCAGGTGAGAGGGGAGGAAGTGAAAAGGGGTAGTAGAGCCCTGAAGGGGGCTGAGGGAGCTGAAGAGCGCACCTGGTGCCCGGCTACTCTACCCCCCAGGATTAGGAAGTGGGGGTGGGTGGGGGTGGCTGATAAGGAAGTGACCAGGCCAGGAAGAGTGCAGGGCCGAGAGTGGAAGGGAACAAGGGCGAGCGGGGCAGGACAGGAGTGAAGGAGTGAGCACACGTGAGCTGCGGTGGGGCTGCTGGGGGCGTGAGGGATTAGGAGATGAGGAGCAGCCACAGCGGCAGGGACCCAGCGACGGGGGGACTGA